CAGATTGGAGTACCTTCAAAAACCATTTTGATAAACGCTGCAACTACAGTTTGTGGGAAAACCGGTACAAAACGCCAGCGTAAATGGGACACTTGGTGGTGGAATGACAGTGTAAACAATTTAATAGCTGAAAATAAAGCTGCATACAAGCAATGGCAAAAATCAAAGTCTCTTGATGACCATAAAATTTTCCGTGAGAAGAACAACTATGCAAGACGTCAAGTTGCACTGGCTCAGACAGATCAGTGCAGAAAGTGGCTCACTAAAAGCAAAGGTGAACAAATGAAATCTCTGTATCGTATAGCAAAACAAGCAAAGCGTACGAAACAAAACATAGTTGGTGCCTCATGTATCAAAAACGACAAAAATGAGATGGTTCTTGAACAAGATGAGAGAATACTTGATTGATTGATTGACTGACTGACCTGACTGACTGGCTGATTGATTGATTGAAGAAGAATCGCTATCTCAATCAGACCCACTAGTCTTCCGAAGATATCTAAGTTCCCTTATAATTTCAGTGGTCCTGGTTCATGGCCACAAATTTTTCTGATTCAGAAAGGTGTTTCATAACAAAATAAAGATTTGAAAATTTGGCTGAGCCAAATTTAATTAACAGTAGCAGAGAAGGACGCAATTTAACCAAAGATTGATTCTATAAAGTTCTCAAAAATGGACAAAAAAAAAATGGTTAGCCTATAATGAAAATAATATAGCTCTCTATTGTATTCCCTGCAAGCTGTTTCCACACTTAGCTTCAAATCTAATATCTTCTTTAGCTAAAGAAAAAGGACTTACCAATTGGAAAAAACTCAGTGAAAAGTTGTTTGAACATGAAAATTCATCTAACCACAAACTTTGCTTTTGCTCTTTGAAAACTTTAGAATCTTGTTTAGTAAATGGAAGTATTGATGCAGAACTCCAAAATCAGATCCATCAAGAACAGTTGCACTGGAAAGCGGTATTTTCTCTGTATTATTATTGTTGTTCTATTCTTGGCAAAACAAGGGAGTCCATTTTGAGGAACTAAAGAAAACTGTGATTTCAGTGATCCACCCATCTGGTGGAAAGTCCTGAACACAGTTGAACTTATTTCTTGTTATAATGCCCCTTTTCAACAACACATTGAGTGGCATAGGAAAGGACAAATATCAAGATGAGTTTCTAGAAATTATTGCTAATAACATAAAGCAAAGAATAATACAAGACATTTTGGATGCAAAATATTTTTCCTTAACATTTGTCTGCACTCCAGGTATCAGTCACAGTGAACAAATGACTCAGACGTCAAAAAAGATACAACGGAAATAGAAGAAAGTTTTATTGATTTTTTCCCAGTTAGTGACAAAACAGGTGAAAGTCTCAGTCAAGAAATTAAAAAATAATTTTTCCCGCCATATTTGCCCCATGACAATGGGGCAAATATGGCGGGAAAATAGTCCAGTCCAGATTATTGCAGAAAAAAAACTGGCATATTCTGTTTCGTGTGCTGCACACTCTCTCAATTTGGTTGGTGCTAATGCAGCCGGTGCTATTATCAAGGCTGAGAACTTTTTCGGAACAGTGTGTATTCTTTTTTGCAGCTTCAACTTCACGCTGGGAAGTTCTTAAAAAAATGTGCTGATAACATAGATGCCAAAAAGCAAAACAAGATGGTCTGCAAGATTAGATGCGGTCGAAGTGGTATATAAACATTATAGTAAAGTGATGCAGGCTCTAGAAAATCATAGAAGTCATGATCTTTCAACTCCTCAAACTGTGAGTGAAACTTTTAAAAAATGTTGAAAAACTTGAATTGAAAACAAACCCTAACCCTTACCATCAGGTCAGCTTTTGGTATGCATTGTTAAAAAAGATTAACCACGCAAACAAATTTTTACAAAAAAGAGATTTAACGGTAGATTTGGCTGCCCGAAACCTCAAAGGTCTTTAACATTCATGAAGTCTTGCGTGAGTTTGCCCCATCTGAGGCCATTGCAGATGGTAAATTGTTAGCAAAAATGAATAATGTAACATTCGAATTTTCAAAAAAGGGACCAAGAAAGAAAAAAAATGCCTGATGAGTTGTGTAACAGTGAAGCTCTTGCAAGTGTTGAAAATGTGTACCAAGTGGCTATGTTAGAAATCATTGACCGGATGATTACAGAACTTAGTGACAGATTTAAAGCTTTGAATAATGTAAACAGCATGTTTGGATTTTTGAGTGGTGTTAAAATTGAAAAAATGCAGATAGCAGATTTAAGAAGAATTGGCAAATATATACTCAGCTGATCTCAATAATTCAACTTTGAAATAGAAAGTTTTAAGCATCACGCTTTGACAGTTGACAAGTTTGAAAAAAGCCACATCAAAAGAAATGTTAACTCTCATTTATAAAAATAAATTAGAAGAAGGCTACCCTAAAATCACTACTGCATTGAGAATGTTTCTCACATTGCCTGTCACAGTGTCATCTGGAGAACAAAGTTTCAGCAAACTCAAAATCATAAAAAAACTACATGAGAAGTACAATGGGGCAGGAAAGACTTTCCAATCTAAGCATAATTTCAATCAAACACAAACGAGCATCCCTTGTCAATTTTGATGATATCATCAATACATTCGCAGCTAAAAAAAACTAGAATTTGTTTTTAATGTAATGTACAAAACAACTACTTGATACGTGGACGCTGCAATATAAACAAAGTTTTTCACTTTTTAATGTTTTATAACTACAGTTGTTTTTTTTTATGTGTTAACATGTATATTGATATTAAAATAAAACATTTTAATAAGAAACATGTTGTATCTAATTAAAAAAACTGCATTTAAACAACAGCTTACGGTAATAGCTTAACAATAACGTGGTAGGGGGCGGCACACTGAGTTTTGCCCCACCCTCAGGCAAATACGCTAGTTCCGGCCCTGGTGCAGTGGTAAACATTGGGCGATAAAGGAGGTTTTTGGAAATTGCTTACGGAAAAAAGAAATGAAAAATCTGTTGATGACAAAGTGTGTGTGGTGCGGCGTCCATAGATCAAAATTAGGATGGATGTCTACAAGTAGCTGCGTTAGTGAAGTTGAACAAACATTTCAGAAACTAGCACTTTCTTTACTTTTCTGCACTTCGCACTAGAAAGTTTAAAGATATTGCGGAAAACAATAATTGTTGCCTAACGTCACTGCCAAAACTCTTTAAGGTTAAATTCCAACATGTTGAATGCAGTTTTGACATCATGGCATTGCCTGGTTATCTTTTTCAAAATTTGCAAAAACAAAGAAGCCAGCGGTTACATCGCATTCCTGCTAGATATCAACAATCTTAAATTTATTGTTTTTCTGGCGAACACACTTGCCGTTTTCAGCAGGCATCAAAACGGCTTCAATCGTTTTGCCTTATATTTGTTTTTTATTTCACTTTTCGCCTTTTATTTCATACAAGTTAATTTTTAATTTTTCAAGTTGAAGATTGGTTTCAAAATACATCCTGATTCAGTTACAAACAATAACTTAAAAATAAATAAGTATATATATTATCGGATTATTTAGATACCATTCTTTAATTACACACACACACATGTGTTAAGTGTCTATCTTTAGTGTTTATATTTCTAGTCAATTTGTATTTATAAGAAAAAATTGATTGATATGATATGAATGCAAACACTATATATACTCTACTATAAGAATTCCCAAAAATGTCAATGTACTTTATTCATGTCATCGAAGATTCTGGTACTGGACTTTAAACAATTTGTTAATGTACAAAAAACTCAATGTCGAGCGATCACTTTCAAACAGATAAAGATTATAGATTTAAGAAAGTTAGTTATAAAAATCAGAAAAATAAAATCCGACCCGAGTAGAAACCAAATTAACAATCACCCAATGTACGAGCAGTAAAAACAGTCAATATTCAATAAAAACAAAGATACTTTGGCTCACACAAACAGTGGCGGATCTAGAAAACTTTTACAGGAGATGGTCAAAATTTTAAAAGATTTAAACCTTGAAATTTGATAGGGGGCCCAAAAACTAACCAAATTTGCACTAGCTTGCGACCTATTTTTACTCATCGTGCCGATTTTCGACTTGAAACGGTTTTCCTGGGGTAAAAACTGAGTTTTAATGACTTATTAAAAATACTGCTAACAACGGTGGTTGAACCCTCTGGATTCACCATTCCACATAGGAGTAAGAGAAACTTTTAGAAAGACACGACGTTAGGCTAGTGGGATAGCAGGTCAAATGCTTGAAGTTTGCATTTCTTCGGTGACTTTTAAAAAAATGGTAAACGATGCATAATTTTTGAAAACCTCATTTATATTGGTAACTCTTTTTTCTGAAATTTAAAAAAGAAAAGAATAATTTTTAAGTTGGGCCAAAAAATTGATGAAACAAAGTATTTTTTTTGTATTGTTACTATTATTAGTATTTTTCTCAAATTTTCTAGAACTAGAAAAATATTAATAAAAACATTCACTTGAGTTAGATTAGATTTAAAAAAAAGGTTTATTTAATTCTTCATTTTAGACAAATAAAGAATAAAGATGTCTTAGGTTCTTTATCTCTTATACAGAACGTTACATCCAGAAAAATTCTTAGTTTCCACGTCCCTCTTACTCACCTAACCTGTTGGAAAATTAAAAATCTGATGAACTCATATTGTTTGTGAGCCAAGCATTCGTTCTAAATCAAAGTTAGGGAGTCAATGAATCCTTTCCACCAAACTTTCCTTTTTTCATTCTGATCTTCTACTTTCGCTTAGTTCGTTAGTTTTTAGCCATCATTTTTCTTTACATCAATCAATCTTCGTTTAGCGTCCAGGGACCTAGTTTCCCGAGATAAGACGTTGTTTTCTTTGCCATCAATTTTTTGCGCCAAACTAGGCGATCAGTTGTATCCATTTCATTCAAATTTAGAGCTTTTATGTCTTGCTCGATTGTTTGCGACCAGAACTTCTTTGGACGGTCTTTGGGACGTGTGCCAGGTACTTCAACATCTGCAAGAGAAGTTATGACACTGTTTCCACTTCGTTTGAGATGACCAAATCACCGCAGACGGTGTTGCCGGCATTCGTCCTTTATATCATCTAAACCAGCATCACGCAGGATTTCGGTTGATTTGATGTGGTCCTTCAGACTAATTCGTTGCATCTATCGGAGCATTTTCATGTCGGTTCGTTGAAGTTGTTGTTCCAGTTTGGCTGTCATTGGCCATGTTTCTGTACCATATAACAAGACCGGACGTATCACAGATTTATAAAATCTTGATCTTAGTGGTAGTGGAATGTTACGCCGCATCAATATATAGGCAAGGAGATATCATTTATTCCAGGCTGCACGTATATGTGCTCGAACGGCAGCTTCAGCTGTTCCAGTACAATCCAGAACATCCCCTAGATATTGAAACGATGTGACTTTCTATATTTTAATGGCTTCAAAAACAGTGCTATTTTGAATTTGTTGTTGTGGATTGATGCAAGCAGGACAAACTAAATTGGACACCACTGGTTACACTGCCGACACTTGATTGAATTGTTACCTACACCAGCTTTACAAACCATTTATTCCAGGCTGCACGTAAGCGTCTTCAGCTGTTCCAGTACAATCCAGAATATCCCCTAGATATTGAAACGATGTGACTTTCTCTACCTTAATGGCTTCAAAAACAGTGCTATTTCGAATTTGTTGTTGTAGATTGATGCAAGCAGGACAAACAAAATTGGACACTTTAGATAAAGTACCAATTATTTTTGAACAACGTTTGTGACACTACTACTGCTGACACTTGGTTGAAATGTTACTTACACCAGCTTTACAAACTGAACAGGGCCATCGTCCAGTAGCTGTGGATTGGATGGGTTCAAAAGTGTTCATTGCTTTGGTTTTGCTGATGTTGACTTTGAATCCATGATCGGCGAGTCTGGTGTTCCAACCTTCAAACCTCTGTGCTGCATTCTGCTCAGACGTGGCTGTTAAAACGATATCATCAGCATATATTAGATTCCAAGTATCACCAGTGCGTATCGGTTTTGTGATTTCTTTCATCACAGTTATAAATAACAGTGGACTGAGAATCGAGCCTTGGTGAACTCCAACGATGTTATTAAATGCATCTGTGTTTCCAACCGTTGTGCTGACGAGAGTCTTAGTATTCGTATACATTTCCATCACAAGTCGAACAAGATATTCTGGAATGAGTTGTGGACGTAGACTCCACCTGATTGCTTCACGGGGAGCTTGTATAGAGGAACTGTCATGCTATAGTTCCATTCAGTCGGCATTGAGCAATTTCTCCAGACTTCACGGCAAAGTTGTAGTAACGTTTGGATACTTGCAGTACCAGATGCTTTGATAATGTCATTGTGAGTCCAGAGGGCCCTGCTGTCTTTCCATCCTTCATAGCTTTAAGAGCTTCTGTAAGCTCCTCTACAGTGATGTCTGGAATCTGGCCTTCGATGGGTGAAGCGTCAAAGTTGACATTGATGGAATTTGTCTCATTTAACAAACGGTTGAAGTATTCTCTCCACTGTAGCTTTATCTCATCTTGTTCAAGAACCATCTCATTTTTGTCGTTTTTGATACATGAAACACCGTCTTTTTTCGTACGCTTTGCTTGTTTTGCTATACGATACAGAGATTCCATTTGTTCACCTTTGCTTTTAGTGAGCCATTTAGTCATTTTCCTTCACATCGCTATATTTAAAGACACATAAAGTTTAGTTTCCAAAAAAAGTGCTTTTTTCCGAATAAATAAATAAATAAATAAATAACTGCATAACTTATCACATTTTTTTAGTTTGAAATTTTTTTATTTGCTTCACAAAAGTAACATCATTTTTCGTTATCGCTGATGTCAGTCCCTTGGTTTTGCTATTTCCTTAAAGTTTATACTAAAGTTCTATAATTATAGCAATCATACTATTATAATAATAATGATAATAACAACAGCAGTTAAGAGCTTTGTAGCAACAGCAAAAGTACCGTAACAATACATACTAGAAACCACACACACGCACGTACGCATAATGGGACAAAAAAACAAATTCTCCCGCCTAACCTTTATATAACAGGCTACATGAAGAAGCACTTAATTCAAATAACGTGTTGACGACACCAAATATTGTTATTTTTTACGTTGTATACGTAAGTATAATGTAAGAATGGAGTCACAAAATTTTTTATCTATTTATTCAACATATCACTCAAAAAACTTTTAATAACAGATCCATCAGCTTGGTTGTTTAATTGCTTTTGAACTTTTCCCACTAAAAAATTAAGGATTTTTTTTTTTCCCTTTTTATATAATATGACCTGAAAATAATTATTTTTTTTTAAATTTACACAATAAGTTATTAGTTTTTTAATAGTTATGTTTAAGATTATTATAAACACTATTATCAAACATTTAAAATATACAATGAAAAATTAACATGAATCAGACTAAAATCTAATTGTAAACTAAAACCAGATTAAATTAAAACCAACTTTAAATTAAAATCAAACCCTACTAATCAATCAATCTTCGTTTTGCGTCCAGAGACCCGGTTTCCCGAGGTAGAACGTTAAACAAAAATTAAATTAACATCAAGCTTAGCATAGTCGTCATAAAATTCTTAAATCGTAAATAAACTACTATTATTAATCTTAACAACAGCGTATCTATCTAGACAAAGTTGAGGAGGCCAAAACGACGAACTTTGCAAGGTGGGGTGAGAATTTAATCAAATGTTTGCTGGTGTGGCCAGAATTAGCTTGGCAACATTTTTTTGCTTATCATGCCAATTTTGTACTTAAAACGGTGTTTTCCTGTTTAAAAACTTTCTTCTGCTGACATTAATAAAAACACTGAAACGCTGCATACAACGGGTGCTAGATCCACCACCAATCTCATGCTTTGACTTTAAAACATAAAGTTGATTAAACATTAAAGTGATTTGAAATTTGATTTAAAACATTTTCATCGCCAAGCTTTTTTATTTTTCTTTTCTGGATGTACCCCTTGATTTATTATTTGCAAAACTTAATATAGCATTTTTTTACTATTATTATTTAACTTAATAATAAAAATAAATTGTAAATCAAAGCATTTTGTTTCCCTTCTGCTTAAAATGATTATGTCAATAAGGTAAATGTAATTTTCGATTTTCATAATGCCAGGCAAAGGCGTCTAGAGAAGAGGGGAGGAGGCAAATGCCTCCACTTTGACTTATGGAGGAATTTTTTCCGTTAAATCACATTTCAAGAAAACGAACCAAATATTTTAAACGGTTTAAGATCACATTCTTATTCTAAGTTGGCTGAATCATCATCGAATGAAAGTAAAAAGTCCTACTGTTGCATTGTCTTGAACTATGTAAGAAAATAAACAATTCGTATTAAAATTAGCATGAAAATTTTAAAATTGGTTTAAAATATTATTGGTTCCATATCCAATTCAGTGTAGGGTATATCTATTGATATCGCCTCAGCGGCAAGACTGCATTCATCAATTTGACATCGTTAGTAGAAATGCGGATTCGATATGGAAAAAATAAACAATATGTGATGAGTGGTAATCATTCGCTAAAGCACACGGTATCAGCCTTGAACTGAAATTTGAAAGTCGCCGGGTCAAAGAGAAAATGTTTGATGAACGTTTCAGAGACGAATGTTTAGTTGGGCTTAATAAAATGAAAAATGAATGTTTTTTAATTGTTTTGGATGAATTGAATCAAAAAAATGAAAAGTAGATCTGAGCAGCAAAAATTTGTTTTTATTAAAGAATTTTTCGTTATTCACTCCCGAAACACTTTTAAGCAGCCAATGCGTAAATGCTGGCAAAATGGAAACTGTTGCAACTGAACTAAGTGATTCTGGAATAGAAGTCGACAATATGGCATTTAAAGAAGCTCAGATGAATGTTGCTAACAAATGCAACAATAGCAGTTATATAAATCCACTCAATGTTCTTCATCAGTTATCCAGTCATTGCTGATGTTTTATAAAATATTTGTTTTTTTTCTCTATCAAGAACCTCTGCAGGAGGGCTTTGAGTAAGCTCAAAATTATAAAAACCAAAAACCAACGACGGTCTACAACGACATATATTATTTATTTGCGTTGATGACAATCGCAACATAGAAAGAATATTGCTATTTCATTATCATGTCTTTCTTCGTTGATGACAATCGCAACGTACAAAAATGTTGCTACTACATCATCATGTCTTTTTTTGTTTTACAATTATTATTCTTAAATTTTGACAAGTGTTATGTTATGTTTGAATATTTTTATTTTCTATTTTCAATTAAAGTTTAAAAAATACTGTTGTACGTTTTATTTTCCCTGTTTAAAGTTGTTCCTTTTTTTTCACATGTAGTTACCTTTGCCTAATGATAAAAATTTTTGTTGCTATCAAAAAAACATTGTTAATAACGTCATTGGGTTGTGTTCACTTTCCGTGCATATATAAAAAATTCTAATACTAAATTGAACCGCGGGAAATTTTTGCCTCCAACATTTGGAGGGAATAGACGCCCCTGATGCCAAGGATTGACAGGTTTAAATCGAAATTAGCCTTAACTGTATAAAACTGTTCAAAATTATTTTAAAAAATTCATATTTAACTTTTGATGCTTTGCAAAGCAAAGATAATTTTTTAAATTTAAAAAATTTAAAATTTAAATTAAATGAATACAACTGATCATCTATTTGGCGCAAAAAATTTATGGCAAAGAAAACAACGTCCTACCTCGGAAAACTGGGTCTCTGGACGCTAAACGAAGATTGATTACAAAGCAAAGAGAAGCAAATTAAAATAATATCCCGTTACAAATTTTGTATCGTTCAATAATGAAAAGTTATAAAATTAGTGTGAAATAAAAATGTCTAACAGCTTCAGGACATCCAGAAAGGACATCAAAACATGTACTTTTTAAAAGGTTTTCATCTTTATACAAATGCCAACTATTTTCAGCAACCAAACTTTTACAGTCTTCAATATTCCCATTAATAGCACACTCCAAAATCTACAAAATATGCACAAAGTGTAAAGATCAGTTAAGTAATATATCAACATTAAAAACTTGTTTAAATATTGGTTATACCGCACTCTGACCAGAGATTATTTTTAAAAATTCATGTAAATTAGCTTAATTTCTAATTCACATTTATGGTGAAATTAAAACCTAGTCGACTTCTCTACCTTTTTGATTTTTATTTCTTAACCACATTTTCTTAAATATTTAATGTCTAATTTTATCTTTATTTTATTTATTTCATTTAATGTCTATTTTTATATTTTTTAGCCAAAATTGTAATTTGATAACATTGATATTGCGTAAGACTGAAAGATTTCAAAAAATCAGTTTAAAGGAGTTTGAAAAACATAAACTACAAGTCTCGTTCCAAATATTTTGGACCATACTACATCGGTTGACACTTGATGCAACTTTTCATGTCAAAAATTGTTTTTGAAGGAAGAGACTTTATGCAACTAAAAGTTTACTGAGGAAAAAGTTGACTACAATGGCACCTGTTTAATACATCGAACTTGTTATACCCTCGTTAAAGTTTTGTAAATCAGCCCGGAGTATAAGAAAAGTATTGCTAAATGTAGCTGTGTATTAGATCGACAGTGAGTTCAACAAAATAATTTTCCTAAAGTCCCTTTACAATAAAAATCACATCCATGGCGTTGGTGCCATCCAAAAACCAAGAATTTGTTTAGTTACATGCTTGGTCAAACTTTTATTAATAGGGTTATCAACCGTCCTCTTTCTGGAGGACAAGTTTTCTTTTTAACAGGATTGTCCTCTGTCCTCCCCCACCTTATTAAATTTTGCTGAAAGTCCTCCTTCACATAATTTTCATTCAAATGTAAAACATAACCTTTTTTTCAAAATTTGTATAACTCATTATTATAAGTATTGAAGTTTGAAGTTTTGTTTGGCCAAGTAAAACTTTATTGACTAGATTTGAGTCAGCATAAGTCTTTGAATATAATTTATATATATATATATATATATATATATCTATATGAAGTTTTCATATCTTCATTTCGTTTGTTTTTTTTTCTTTTAAAATAAACGTCTTTTCATAGTTGAAGCAAAATTAACTTTTAGTTGAGTTGCCTGTTGCATCACTTCACTCATGTTCTGCCATTTATTTTTAATTTTTTAAATTCGAGGCACTGTCAATACATAAGTTTTTTGGCCGGAATAATAGAAGAAGGGATAAACTGTTTTTATTTAATATCTGTTTATTTTTTTTTTAGAAATTCGAGTCATAATTAAACCTAAAAAAAAGTGCAAATTCAACGAAAATATGCGACTTAATTTAAAAATGTTCAAAGCCATTGAAAATGAGGAGGCAGAATGCACTGTTCGTAATCTGAAAATTAATTTAAGTTACAAGGGAACAACAGCTCTGGAAAATCATATAAATTGCGATGCTCACTAAAAAAGATTGAAGCAGTATATTTGTCATCTAAAATTCAAAATTTTTTCCTAGTTCCTAATTCAAAAACATAAATCCTAGTATCCGCCGATGAGCTCACTTTAGCATACCACACAGTCAACCACCACTTTAGCTTCAAAAGTCGGGATCGCTCAATCAAATTATATTCAAAGACTTATGCTGACTCAAATCTAGTCAATAAAGTTTTACTTGGCCAAACAAAATATGAAGCAATTTGTCAAAGAAATTCTTGGACCTTAGTCAAATACAATTTTAATCTGAGTTGTAATGATTTTTATAACGAAATTGTTAACAACACAAAACTTTTGACACAAGTTTCAAAAACAGAGAAATATAACGCCTAATTTTTTATCAATTATTCTTTTTGTTTTTGTTTAAATAGAAATTTTTTTTCACTCGTTTGTTTTCACTATATCAAAATTCTAAGTATATCGATGTCGATACAAATTTGTCCTTCCCTGAGGTATGACTGAATTGGTAACCCTATTTATTAATTATTTAATCTAATTAATTATTATTGAGCGGCGCGATGGCGTAATGGTTAAGGTGCCTGCATTGTTGATGCAGTGCCCGGGTTCGAATGCAAAGAGATCTTCACCTATCACATTCAAAACCGTGTGATGCGTTGATTCGCGTGTATTTATACACTGTATGTTTGTTGTAATAACCTCCGAGAAATATCTAAGAGAGAACAATAACAACAACAATAACAACAACAATAATAATAATAGATAAAAAACACGGGTAATTTTTGTGATTACTACAGCTGGGGTAGTTATCTTTTTGTTTTAAAATGTAAACGACAACATTTCTAACTCATGATACACAAACTATAAATGCTTTTACAAGCAATTGTCGGTATTTTGCCCAACACGTGCTGTTGAATGTAATCTAGTTTCATAAGTTTCGTAATCTAGGCTTTATCTCTGATTCTAGCCTGTGTTATTCTTTTCAGATTAATTTTTAATTATAAAGATTTATCTAGAATTGATTATTGTAACTCGCTCTATTATGGTCTTCCTGATCTTACACTCTATCGTTTAAGTAAAGCTTTTCATTCGTCCAGTTGCTCGTGCGTCTTTCTTTTCTCATATATCTCCATATCTTGTTCTCTTGCACAGGCTTCCTATAAAATATATAATAATTTTTAAAATTTGCACATTTATGTATAAGTCTCAATTTAAATTATTTCCTAAGTACTTATCAGATATATTAATTGTATCTAAACGCGGCGGTTTACGATCGTCTTCTTGTTCTCACTTCTTATTAACTCGTGTTAAACAATCTTTTGCTAAATCAATCAATCTTCGTTTAGCGTCCAGAGACCCAGTTCCCCCGTGGTAGGACGTTGTTTTCTTGGCCATCAACTTTTTGCGCCAAATTAGACGATCAGTTGTATCCATTTCATTCAAATTTAGAGCTTTCATGTCTAGCTCGATTGTTTGCGACCAGGATTTCTTTGGACGGCTTTTAGGGCGTGTGCCAGGTACTTCAACATCTGCAAGAAAAGTTATGGCACTGTTTCCACTTCGTTTGACATGACCAAACCACCGCAGACTGTGTTGCCGGCATCCGTCCTTTATATCATCTAAACCAGCACGACGCAGAATTTGATGTGGTCCTTCGGACTAATTCGTTGCATCCAACGAAGCATTTTCATGTCGGTTCGTTGAAGTTGTTGTTCCAGTTTGGCTGTCATTGGCCATGTTTCTGCACCATATAACAACACCGGAAGTATCACAGATTCATAAAGTTTTGATCGTAGTGGTAGTGGGATGTTACGCCGCATCAATATAGAAACAAGGAGATGTAATTTATTCCAGGTTGCACGTATGCGTACTCGAACGGCAGCTTCAGCTGTTCCAGTACAATCCAGAACATCCCCTAAATATTGAAACGATGTGACTTTCTCTACTTTAATGGCTTCTTGAACATTGGTATTTCGAATTTGTTGTTGTGGATTGATGCAAACAGGACAAACAAAATTAGACACTTTAGATAAAGTAAAACTCTTTTGCTAAATCTGCATTTTCTTTTTCTGGCCCTTTTCTCTGGAACTCTCTACCCTCCTTCTCCATCACTAACGAAGTTCAGAGCTGATCTCAAGACCCATCTGTTTGCAAAATTCATTGAGGATCGCTGTTGAACATCGCGGAAATAGCGCTTTAGGAACTAATTGATTGATTGATTGACATTCCATTAACTAAAAACTAGAATCAAATTTTGATTTCTAAATAATTTAAAATCTTATCTTTTTTATATAAATTAAACAAATTATTAAACAATAAATAATAAAACAAATTCGCAAGGGTTTTTTAGAGCACACTTTTAACGTAATGCTCATTAACATTAGCTTACTAAAAAATTTACTTTTAGATAATCAATTAATACGTGAAAAAAAATTAAATTTTATAATAGACTGAAATGAAAACATGAAACATTTTCCCTAATTAACAAAAAATTGAAAATTTTGAAATTTTTTTACAAAAAATAAAAATGATAAGTAACAAAAATTGATATTTTCATGTTTTGTAAAAAAAAAACAATAAAAAGAAAAATAAAATTACTTTCTTAGAAATTGTTAAGTTAATGGATTTTTCAACGAAAACCATAACCAGGATATCCATAACAACAGTAGTTTTTAATCTAAAAAAATTTCAAGTTTACAATATTTATCAAAATAATAGCAACTCTGTCCTAACTTGTTCATATTTTTAGAAAGTTTATTGACTGTATATAAAACTTCATTTATGAGAAAATTTGCAATTTCCATTTTATGATGTTTCATTGTCAGATTAGATGAACATTCAGTATAAATATCAAATAGGAATGGGTGGCTCTAAAATTAATATTAAATTTTATAATTTATGTATTGCCGACAAGCTAATAATGGAAAATCTTTTTATTGCGTCCAAAAAAATCAATGATAAAATTAATCATAAAGTAAAATAAAATAAATTAGATAAAGTAAAATAAAATAAATTAGATAAAGCAAATTAAAATAGAATAAAATCTTGCTGTTCATTAGTGCAGAAAGATAAAATATTTAAATGGTTATAAATTGTTTCTATCAGAGTAAATGCCATAATTCGATTTAATCTCGGAGTTAATTAATTTGTCAATAACTAATGATAAACTAAATTTATTAAAGAAACCGATTGGATTTATTTCAAATGTTTTTAGTATTATTGAACAATTTTTATATTCATCGTTTACACATGCATTCAAACTGTCAGTATATTTTGTTTGCTTGAATTTTCTAGATGAAATCAGATTCCTTTCGTGGCACACCGTCAACTCGATGGCTTACATTTCGCGGTTGCTTAGAATGGTGATGTCTAGACGCAGAGCGCCAAAAAATTGCGACATTGACACGACTCCGTTGGATACGATATCTGTAAATATTAGGCGGTCGGCTGGACAACAATTGATCTTGCCAGTGCCACCACATTACAGTTAAATATTACATTCGTTTGTTCTGCGCCGCAGAAAAGACATAGAGGATCTTTTGTCTTTCTCCATCTGAATAAATTGGCGTTGATTGACAATTGTTTATATTACTCGCAGATTTGTACAGATTTTATCTATTTTCTTGGACCAAGGTATTATTTGAGTCGAAGCTATTACTTATGTTACCAGTTTGTTAAGGACACACTGATTTTGGAAAGAAATAACATAATCTTGACAGGCAGCTTTTCCAAGCTTTTTAACGACTGAGTAGTTGAGTTCGAATTTGAGCGCAAATTGTCCACCATCTTATAGTCTATTGATGTTTCGCGTTAAAGACATCAAATTTTTGTACCTTAGTTTGTTTAAAATAATTGCGGAGTTTTGGCCTCATTCTCAACGCTGAATCTTTGAGTGAAACAATATTATGACAACTAAATTTTTAATAGTAGACCGAGAACCTCAGACACGCCGCTTATTGGTATTGTTGTTTCTATTACTAGGTTGTTCAAATTATTAGTGATCCACGACAGAGAAGAGAAAATTTTTAACTTCAAAGCTCAAACTTCAATTGTTCAAATAAGTAGCGTGATCTAAATCTAGCTTTATCTAAATCAGCCGTGATCCTCAACAGCCGTGTTAATTTGGCTTTTGTATTTTTCAATTCTGAATTATATATATTACCTAGATATTTGAATCCAGAGCCCAATTCTACGGCCGGAATAGGTATGTTGTTTATTGACAACCTAGGTAGGAATTGATCATATGAGCTGCCTTTCTTCATCATTCCGAACGCACAATATTTGTCAACTCTCATTTGCATGCCTGACCATTTACAACAGGCTAGATTGAGGTCAACTAATTTTTGAGCACTTTTAGAATTACGTGCTATAATTGCAATGTCATCCGCAAATTGCAGCCATGATCTAGTCTTCACGTCAAACGTTGGCTCCCATAAGTAACCGCAATGTTTAAATTCTTGATTCTCCAAGATCATCAGAGGATTGAAACAAAGATTAAACAATAGCGGAGAACAAGGGTCATCTTGAAGGACCCTTTTCTTACCGAAAATGGTGTGAGTTTGTGAGTTGATCGTTGATTGATACTGATATTGTTTTGTTGGAGTATATTAAAAATATTAACATTGAAACATTTGAGGGACATGACATAATTGATATCCATCTGACATAATTTTATTTGTTTTTTGACTTTTCTGTATTTATTAGCGAGGGGCATAGCCCGTGCCACTAAGAATAATATTAATAATAATAATGATCACAGAGTAAAACTGAATTGCATTCCGTAGATCTAGTAGAGCAATAACTTTTTGCATGTTTTTTTGCATCTTTCATCAAATGGGTTAGCATGTGTGTGTTCAGCCAAACTCTCCAGTGTTGGGTAAAAGCCTTTCTGAGTGTCTTTACTGATGAGTTTATTTTTTAGAAAAACTTTGTACAGCATATTTTTTTATTAGAGTTGAGAATATTTTGTATTGTAAACTTGTTAAAAATTTGGTGCAGTAGACAAGGCATGACGTTGGCTTGGCACTTCCGAATAATAGCAGCGATTTGGATAGTTTGACTGAAACTAATAAGCAGCTCTGACATATCATTTTTATATTTAGACCCTTGTGCCACAAAGCTTGCAATATTCACCCCACAAGACGCACATACCCATTGTGTATGCACGCGCAAGCCTGGCGTATGATAGTCTGAGTTTTGGACAAACGCTATTCGAACAAGGCCACCACGTAACTGCACGAAACATAGTATTTCTACCAACTGAGCTGACCTTTCTATTTGGAAATGTTTCGTAATGCACATTGGGTTAAAAAAATTAATAGGCAAGAAATGTGCAAACAAACTTGAAATGGCTTCTAGATTAAAATTTTTTTTTTGATTTTCTAAAGTGTAAATTTTATTCACGGTTTTCAAAGCAACATTCTAAACAAGAATTCTATAATCGCGCATCTAAACATAAACTATTTGTTCTTTTTAAACTTTTACATGAACATCTGGCAACAGTGTTATGACTTGCCAATAAAATGAACTAAAACTGAAAAGATATTTTAGAAAGAGGTTGGAACATCTCATAACATACAAAAGTGGACCATCAGCCACGCAAATTGATTTCTTCGCTGTCAAGCAACAATACCGAAGGCTATTCAAAAATGTCAAAGTTATACCTGGCGAATCCTGTGTCGCCCAACATAGACTTCTTGTGGCAGACCTGGTTGTCAAACTGTCACAACATAAGACTAAACAAATGCCTCGGAGAATCAAAATGTGGAATCTGAAAAGCAATATTCATCGAGAAAAAATTCAACAGATTGTCGCCACACAGTTAGACCACCAATCGCAAGCCAGTACAGATTAGAGTACCTTCAAAAACCATTTTGATAAACGCTGCAACTACAGTTTGTGGGAAAACTGGTATAAAACGCCAGCATGAATGGGACACTTGGTGGTGGAATGACAGTGTACACAATTTAATAGCTGAAAATAAAGCTGCATACAGCAATGGCAAAAATCAAAGTCTCTTGATGACCATAAAATTTTCCGTGAGAAGAACAACTATGCAAGACGTCAAGTTGCACTGGCTCAGACAGATCAGAGCAGAAAATGGCTCACTAAAAGCAAAGGTGAACAAATGAAATCTCTGTATCGTATAGCAAAACAAGCAAAGCGTACGAAACAAGACATAGTTGGTGCCTCATTATCAAAAATGACAAAAATGAGATGGTTCTTGAACAAGATGAGATCAAGCTACAGTGGAGAGAATACTTCAATCGTCTGTTAAACGAAACAAATCCCATCAATGTTAACTTTGACGCTCCACTCATCGAAGGTCCGATTCCAGACATCACTGTAGAGGAGCTTACAGAAGCTCTGAAAGCTATGAAGGATGGAAAGACAGCAGGGCCCTCTGGACTCACAAATGACATTATCAAAGCATCTGGTACTGCAGGTATCCAAACGTTACTACAACTTTGCCGTAAAATCTGGAGAAATTGCTCAATGCCGACTGAATGGAACTATAGCATGACAGTCCGGCTATACAAAGGCAAAGGTGATCCATTGAACTGCCTGAATAAAACTGGCCTTGTTACCAATAGAATATTAAGAACATCAAGCCAATTGAACACGTCATTTTTCCTTGGCAAAAGAAAAGGAGGCAATCAAAACCAGGCACAATGTATTGTCGTTTAGCGCACAGTGGAAGAAAGGACGGTAGGAAAAAACTCTATTTTTTGAACGCATAGAAGGTAATGTCATAATGTAGACGGCGTAAGAATCTCTGTAGATAAGCGACAAAAAAGTAAAATCGAAATATCTGAATAGCAATACAATAGTCTGCAATTCGCATTACTCAAACTCTACATTCTATACTGTGATTATTTGTCAAGTATTATTAACATGAATTCCAGCAATAAATAAAATTTGTTTATTTGTAAAATGTAGCTTTGTAAGTATTACAAGTAAGATATTACAAATTTAAAATTTTACAATAATTTTTGATGATTATTAACAATCTTGTTGGCGAAGTGTTAATGGTTTTTTAAACGTGCAATCGTACATGAGTCATTAAGTTGTCATTGGGCAAAGATTCAACCTGAGAAACAAAGCGATAATTTTACTGAATTTTACTGAATAAATTTTTGTGAAAGGGTCGTTAGATTTTGCCACAATTAATCCGCTATTTAACCTACACTTCAACACGTTGCAGTTGATCTTAATTATATCATTTGTTATTTTAACTACAAAAAGTTGATGTAATCTGGTAAATTTGTACTTTGTACCTTTGTTATTTTATTAATGAGCACCACGAAGAAATTAAAACATTTGCTGCTATTCAAAAAGTAGTTTCATATGCTAGTAATTCTGGCGATGTTAAATATAATCAAGCAAAAATATTATGGAAAATAATAAAATAAATATCATACCACAAGTACATCACTTTGTGCTAGACTTAGATGATCCAAATCAACCAATTTTTTTCTTTGCTCACTTGGTAAAATTGGAAAATCTTTTAAAACATCTTCAATATTCGTTCCATTTTTTCCTTTGGTGTTTAGTATAAGTGGAGGCAAATTTGGCTCAGGCATGAATCTGTAGTCATGAATACCTTCTTTATCTCTCAAAGGCACTGTAATGCTAAATATTTCACAAATTGATAAATACTGCAACACGGTTTGTATAAATCTCATTTTTAATATTTCACACAAACAAAAACAAACAAATACTTGTCTGCTATAATTAGTCCAAACTCGAAACACTAAAAATTATTGTCAAAAAATTAAGGCAATTCATTAAATAAAAAAAATGTAATCGTGATTAATAAGCTCTTAAATAATATATGATCATTATAAAGACAAGCTTTGTCTGAGACGACAATTTTTTTAGATTCTAAGTTGTCAATGAAAGCTCATCTGAAAATATTGTCTTCATCATTTACATACAATTTGCAAAAATTGTATCGTGTTCGCAAATCATTAGAAAGATCAACCATGCATTGCTTTGATGCATTTATTCACGATAAGATTATTTTAACAGTCAGTTTAATGATCTTTTCGTTAAATCCATTGCAATACTTCATGTCGATTTAAAACAGAGCGGCCAAAATTATTGTGTGGGTAGTCTAAAGGTCAAACCAATTTTAATGAACTCCATTGATAGAACGTAGAAAAAAGAATAAATTTTTAAGATATGTGTTTTAATGTTTAAAGCAGCAAATACTTGAGTGAAAAGTTCAATAAAAAATCAAGAGTGTCAACTGATATTCATTTAAGATGTGATGATTTAAACTTGATAGTTATTAATACTGCACAGTTGAAATCGGGAGAAGAAATATTTCTGTTTAAAGACCGTCTTTTTTGAACTCATTACCGAAGTCATTGAGGACGCCAGAATTAAGCATTGAAATTTTCAGACAATTTCATTTAAATTCATTGGTTACTATAACGTTCAGTCATTTTGCGTTTTTGATTGATTTTTATGAAAGCGCCTTTAAGATACTTTGAATTGGCGCTACATATAAATTTTTTATAATAATGATAATAATAATGTTGTATGGCACGAGAGATATAAAATCACTGCTTTTACATATAACTTTAGTTTTTTTATCGAGTAATTGGTTTTAAAATTAGGTTAGTGTTTCTGTGAAATTGCGGAAAATAGGGCAATGTTTTCTAAATTTGTCTTTAATTAATTTTGGTTGTTCTAATAAATGGTATTTATAGTGTAAATTCTAATAAATGTATTGTTGAAAATCTAAGATGGCTAACTCGGTAGAGCTGTTTTTTCTAAAACCTTATTGATTGCGATTATTAAGATTGTATTTGCCGAAAAATGAACTGTTTTATCAATTATTTTGGAAAACGTTTTAATTATGATAATGGACGATAGTTCGAAAGATTATCACTTTTAGACCCACTTTTAAGTAGAGGAAAAACTTTTATATTTTTATACAATCGGAAAATATTGTCAAAATTATGAAATAATACTGACTAAAAATACTGCAAAATTTTCAACGCGAAATTTATTCACTCGATAGGGGGCATGGTGCAAGTTAATTTACTCGATAGGTGACGACGATTTTTTTTGTTTTGCAATTTAGATGACGTCATAAATTATTACAAATTATTTTAAAATTTAATTAGTAGTTTTTTTTATTAATTGGACATACCTTGGAAATTTTTAAGTTTTTAAAACACCCGAAACAAAATCTAATTTTGCTTTGATAAGGAAGGGTGTGAAAAGACTGAAAACGGGGGTTGACTAGTGAGGCAGCTTCGAATAATCAGTGCCTATTCTGGTCCCTAAGAGACTTAATACGTGATTCTATGCTCATTGGCATAGTTTCAGAAACGTCTTAAGTTCTCAAAAAGAGTCAGCCTTGGGTTCACCAGTTAGGCAGCTTCGAGTAATCAGTGCCTATTCTGGTATCTAAGAGACTTAATGCGTGATTCTATGCTCATTGGCATAGTTTCAGAAACGTCTTAAGTTCTCAAAAGTGGATTTGGTACGAGACTCTATGCTCATTGGCATAGTTTCGCACGCGTACTAAAGTCACACAATTTGTTCCCAGTGTTGTTCTGACTCTTGTTGTTTTGTGTTGGTCGTGCGAAAGCCGATCAGACTTGACGGCCCAGTGAAAACAGGCCCTTGGTCGTGCGAAAGCCGACCGACCGACTGACAGACAGGCCCAGTGAAAACAGGCCCTTGGTCGTGCGAAAGCCGATCAGACTCGACGGCCCAGTGAAAACAGGCCAGGGTTGTGCGAAAGCCGACCGACTGACAGACAGGCCCAGTGAAAACAGGCCTTGGGTTTTGTGAAAACGAATCCGCCTCGTTGTTTTGTTTCTTGTGCTAGGGTTCTTTGCTGGATTCTATACTCATTGGTATAATTTCACACGCAGCTTGGAATTTCCATAGGCTCCGATTTTTGTGATTTTTTTTCGCATTCATTTTTATTTATTTCTTGGAGTTGTATCGACATCACCATCGGTCACACACGTCGAGGTTGTACGATTAAACGGCAAGAAACATATCCCAAGTCGAAGACCCAACAAGAAGAAGTTCTAATTCCTGTATTCCAGTTTGTTCATTGACATTTACATTATTATAGAGTTCATTAGTTCAATTCCTTTTTATTTACTTCCGTCGATCAATAAAATCATATAATTCGAAAAAGCCCAGTGCCACACAGGACTGGTCGAACTCACGTTAAAAATATACATAAAAATTATTGTCGGACCATAAAAAAATTCCATGGGAAAGATAGAGGAGGAGATTATCTCACACCACCAGTTGTTTTAATTGTTTTCATTTAAAAATTTCCGACAATTGGCGCCCAACGTGGGGCTTAGTCATAATTTGAAAAATCTCCTTATCATTTATTTTAAAATTTCCGACAATTGGCGCCAAACGTGGGGCTTAGTCATAATTTGAAAAATCTCCTTATCATTTATTTTAAAATTTCCGACAATATGTTTCTAGCTAATGATAGATTTATACAATCAATCTTCGTTTTGCGTCCAGAGACCCGTTTCCCGAGGTAGGAAGTTGTTTTCTTTGCCATCAACTTTTTGCGCCAAAATAGACGATCGGTTGTATCCATTTTATTTAAATTTAGAGCTTTCATGTCTTGTTCGATTGTTTGCGACCAGGACTTCTTTGGACGGCCTTTGGGACGTGTGCCAGGTACTTCAACATCTGCAAGAGAAGTTATGACACTGTTTCCACTTCGTTTGACATGACCAAACCACCGCAGACGGTGTTGCCGGCATTCGTCCTTTATATCATCTAAACCAGCACGACGCAGGATTTCGGTAGATTTGATGTGGTCCTTCAGACTAATTCGTTGCATCCATCGGAGCATTTTCATGTCGGTTCGTTGAAGTTGTTATTCCAGTTTGGTTGTCATTGGCCATGTTTCTGCACCATATAACAACACCGGACGTATTACAGATTCATAAAGTTTTGATCGTAGTGGTAGAGGGATGTCACGCCGCATCAATATAGAGGCAAGGAAATGCCATTTATTCCAGGCTGCACGTATGCGTGCTCGAACGGCAGCTTCAGCTGTTCCAGTACAATCCAGAACATCCCCTAGATATTGAAACGATGTGACTTTCTCTATTTTAAGGGCTTCAAAAACAGTGCTATTTCGAATTTGTTGTTGTGGATTGATGCAAGAAAAAGACAAACAAAATTGGACACTTTAGATAAAGTACCAATTATTTTTGAACAACGCTTGTGACACCACTGGTTACAATGCTGACACTTGACTGACTTTGAATCCATGATCGGCGAGTCTGGTGTTCCAATCTTCAAACATCTGTGCTGCATTCTGCTCAGACGTGGCTGTTAAAACGATATCATCAGCATATACTAAATTCCAAATGTCATTAGTGGGTATCGGTTTTGTGATTTCTTCCATCACAGTTATAAATAACAGTGGACTGAGAATCGAGCCTTGGTGAACTCCAACGCCGATGTCAAATGCATCTGTGTTTCCAACCGTTGTGCTGACAAGAGTCTTAGTATTCGTATACATTTCTATCACAAGTCGAACAAGATATTCTGGAATGAGTTGTCGACGTAGACTCCACCTGATTGCTTCACGAGGAACTCGATCAAATGCTTTTTCAAGGTCTATAAAAATGTGTGATAGTTGTTGATGCTTTGCGAAGTACTTCTCTTGCAGTTGCCGAAGGATGTGAATTGCATCGATTGTTGATTTCCCCGCTAGGAAACCAAATTGATAATTTCCGATTGTGATGCACGACGTTAATCTTCTCTCAATGATTTTCTCGACAATTTTCAGGAAGTGTTCTAACAGATGTATACCCCGATATGACGAACAGTTCAATGGATCACCTTTGCCTTTGTATAGCGGAACTGTCATGCTATAGTTCCATTCAGTCGGCATTGAGCAATTTCTCCAGACTTCACGGCAAAGTTGTAGTAACGTTTGGATACTTGCAGTACCAGATGCTTTGATAATGTCATTTGTGAGTCTAAAGGGCCCTGCTGCCTTTCCATCCTTCATAGCTTTCAGAGCTTCTGTAAGCTCCTCTACAGTGATGTCTGGAATCTGACCTTCGATGGGTGGAGCATCAAAGTTGACATTGATGGGATTTGTTTTATTCAACAGACGGTTGAAGTATTTTCTCCACTGTGGCTTGATCTCATCTTGTTCGGTGTTGTTGCTTGACAGCGAAAAAATCAATTTGCGTGGCTGATAGTCTACTTTTGTATGTTATGAGATGTTCCAACCTCTTTCTAAAATATAAACAAAACCCGCATCCCCTGTCAAGGGGTGCCAAGAATCCCTGGAAAGTATGCAATAGTGGAGGGATGTTGCAGAAAAATTCAGAATGGCCCCTCTATGGTACTTAGACTTGGAACGCTCAATGTTGGATCACTGACTGGCCGCAGCATGGAAATCGCAAAAATGCTCGAGCGTAGAAGGATTGACATCTGCTGCCTTCAGGAAACCGATGGAAATCGAATGGTGTCTGTCATGTCAACTCAGACAAAGAAAAATGTAAACTATTCTGGAATGGTCAAAAGACGGCCAAAAATGGTGTTGGAATTTTTGTCAGAGAACCGCTAGCCCAAGAAGTACTGGATATTAAAAAGATTAATTCTTGTCTCATGTGAATCAATCTTCGTATTGAAAAGCAAACAATGATTATTTTTTCTGCATACGCACCACAGACACGCGAATCAGAAGAGATAAAAAATGACTTCTGGGCTGCATTCTCTGACACAATCTCAACAATACCAAAATCTGAAATAATCCTGATTGGAGGCGATCTCAATGGCCACGTAGGAAAAAAACAGGTGGTTTTGACAACGTACATGGCGGTTTCGGCTATGGAGAACGGAATGAATGGCAACCGCATTTTTGAGTTTGCTGAAAGTCACGGGTTTCCTTTACTGAACACATATTTTCGAAAGAGGTTGGAACATCTCATAACATACAAAAGTGGACCATCAGCCACGCAAATTGATTTCTTCGCTGTTAAGCAACAACACCGAAGGCTATTCAAAAACGTCAAAGTTATACCTGGCGAATCATGTGTCACCCAACATAGACTCCTTGTGGCAGACCTGGTTGTCGAACTGTCAAAACAAAAGTCTAAACAAATGCCTTGGAGAATCAAAATGTTCGTCATATCGGGGTATACGTCTGTTAGAACATTCCCTGAAAATTGTCGAGAAAATCATTGAGAAAAGATTAACGTCGTGCATCACAATCGGAAATTATCAATTTGGTTTCCTAGCGGGGAAATCACCAATTGATGCAATTCACATCTTTCGGAAACTGCAAGAGAAGTATCTCGCAAAGCATGAACAACTATCACACATTTTTGTAAATCTTTGAAAAGCATTTGATCGAGTTCCCCGTAAAGCAATCAGGTGGAGCCTAGATCTGCAACTCATTCCAGAATATCTTGTTCGACTTGTGATGGAAATGTATACGAATACTAAGACTCTCGTCAGCACAACGGTTGGAAAGGCTCGATTCTCAGTACACTGTTATTTATAACTGTGATGGAAGAAATCACAAAACCGATACGCACTGGTGATACTTGGAATCTAATATATGCTGATGATATCATTTTAACAGCCACGTCTGAGCAGAATGCAGCACAGATGTTTGAAGATTGGAACACCAGCCACGCCGATCATGGATTCAAAGTCAACATCAGCAAAACCAAAGCAATGAACACTGGTGAACTCATCCAATCCACAGCTACTGGACGATGGCCCTCTTCAGTTTGTAAAGCTGGTGTAGGTAACAATTCAATCAAGTGTCAGCAGTGATTGGTGTCACAAACGTTTTCAAAAATAATTGGTACTTTATCTAAAGTGTCCAATTTTGTTTGTCCTGCTTGCATCAATCCACAACATTGTTTTTGAAGCCATTAAGGTAGAGAAAGTCACATCGTTTCAATATCTAGGGGATGTTCTGGATTGTACTGGAACAGCTGAAGCTGCCGTTCGAGCACATATACGTGCAGCCTGGAATAAATGATATCTCCTTGCCTATATATTGATGCGGCGTAACATTCCACTACCACTAAGATCAAGATTTTATAAATCTGTGATACTTTCGGTGTTGTTATATGGTGCAGAAACATGGCCAATGACAGCCAAACTGGAACAACAACCTCAACGAACCGACATGAAAATGCTTCGATGGATGCAACGAATTAGTCCGAAGGACCACATCAAATTCTGCGTCGTGCTGGTTTAGATGATATAAAGGACGGATGCCGGCAACACAGTCTGCGGTGGTTTGGTCATGTCAAACAAAGTGGAAACAGTGTCATAACTTCTCTTGCAGATGTTGAAGTACCTGGCACACGTCCCAAAGACCGTCCAAAGAAGTCCTGGTCGCAAACAATCGAGCAAGACATGAAAGCTCTAAATTTAAATGAAATGGATACAACTGATCGCCTAATTTGGCGCAAAAAATTGATGGCAAAGAAAGCAACGTCCTACCTCGGGAAACTGGGTGACTGGACGCTAAACGAAGATTGATATTTAGGAAATTTTGATTTGAAGTTATTTTTATTGATTAATAATAAACCAAAAAGACCAAATTATTTTATTAATTTCTAATTCGTCCCTAATATATTTCTTTTCAGCAAATTGCTTAATGGTAGTAAAGGAGTTTTTATATTTAGTAAATGTTAATTTATTAAAAGCAGTAGGATTTCATTAGTAAACAGAATGCAATTAATTTTAAATCTTAGCAGATTTCAAAATTCCAACTGTTAACCACAGGTGCTCTCGTTTTCTTTTTAGAATTCGAGACAAAGCCAGATTTTTCACAGATCGCTTAGATTTATACCCTGTTTTTTAACTTGGAGTCAACGTGTTTTTAGTATTTTCATAACAATATTCAGCATCTATAAGCTTTAATAACATACTTTGCTTATTACAAAACTCTCCTTTCCATAAAATCGAGATAAATATAAATGAACTTATGTTTTTGATATCTTATTTTTGTTGTTGTTCCAACATTGAACTCTAGCTAATGTCATTGTTCAATTGTGAGATAAAATCTGGCTTTCATTTTTCGCTTAATACAAAACTCTCCTTTCCATAAACTCAGGATAAATATAAATGAATTAATTTTTTAGTTCAATAGTTTTTTAGTAATTAACAACAAAAAATAGAATAATAAAATATTTAGATAATGATATAAAATATATGAACAACAACTTAGAATTAGCAAATAATGTACATGAATTACTATTTACTCGTTCTCGGCATGAAAGTATCGGGTTTCATTTTGCACTTCATAACCTGATTCTTTTATTTCAATTTGTCTTGATATTTCGTAACCTAAACAAAAACAAGATAAACTTGCCATCACTGTTATGCATGCTATAACATAGCTAATTAATCAACAAAGTTATAAGTGCGAGATTATTTTTCTCGAAAGAATAGAACGTTCTCAGACCGACATCGAAGGCTATATAGAAAAGTGCACTCGAGCCTGTTTCAAGTGGATCAATATTTGTTAAATTTGATTATTCTTATTAAATAGTTGTTTATTAAGTTTTGCATACTAGAAAGTACAACGACATTTTCCCCGAGATTGGGGGTTGCCGTTTGGCTAACTATGATGAAACCGAAATACCCCCCGACGCCATTCACATCTGACACTCGCCTAAGTATCACGCAACTCCGCTTTCACTCTGTCCTTCTCCACCTGCTCTCTCCATCCCAATCGCGGAAGACCCCATCCTATCACTCCTTCAACCTCGAACTCCAACGCTCGCCTAATCCCGACCCTTTCATCCCTTCTCAACACATGTCCATATCACCGCAATCTCGATCTCCTTATCAATGTCACAATGTCCTTATTCAGTCCCATCATCGACATCAACTCTGTACTACTCCTCCTATCCTTCACTTTAACCCCACACATCATCCTCACCATAGATCTTTCAGCCCTCTGCAGTACACTTTCCTCCTCTCTCCTCAACACCCAAGTTTCACCACCATATACTATCGCTGCCCTCACGCAAGCTTTATATACCCTCCCTTTCATCTTCACTGACCATTTCCTTCCACACAATACCCCACCCAGTTCCCTAAATTTCATCCATCCCACACAAACTCTAGCCGTAACAGCGCTCAAACATCCTCCATCCGCATTCAGCTTAACCCCTAAATAAACAAAGTTTTCCATTCTTTCAATACTACCATTCAACCCCGTCCTTGCGTCCGTCCTATTAATCACACCAAAAACACATTTCTTACATTAGAACGTGCCTTCCACCTTTTTCAGTGCCCCCCTCACATCACTACATCTCTTATGCACCCACTTCTGACATCCTATACACAATACCGAGTTAGCCTTTACTCTCCTGTCACATACCCCACAGGGGTCTATTTTACTTATCACTCGCCCCCTACCTTCCCCTCACCATTACCTTCGTCTTACCAATATTAACTTTTAACCCTTTCTTTTCAATAACAATTTTCCATCTGTCAAATTTTAACTGCAATTCTTCCATGATATCAGCCATCAAGACTAAATCATCTGCATACAAAATCTCAAATAACAACTTCTCCATTATGTTTCCACACACAACATCCATCACAAATACAAACAAAAACGGTGATAACACTGATCCTTGATGCACTCCTACCTTAACACTAAAAGATCTCTCATTCACTCCTTTCTTCCTCAACGCCCATTCAATGACCTTTCTCGGTACTCGATCAAAAGCCCTTTATAGATCCACAAAACACATGTACAATCTTCGTTTCTTCTTTCTATAATTCTCCTGCAACATTCTCACTAGGAACAACGCATCCACCGTTCCCCTACTAGGCATAAACCCACACTGCATTTCATTAACGGTCACCATATTTCTCAATCTCCTCTCAAGCACCCTCTCCACTACCTTCATTCCATGCTCTAGCAATTTCACACCCCTATATGACCCACAATCTCTTACATCTCCTTTGCCCTTATACAACGGCACCAACACACTGTGTCACCAATTCTCAGGTATACCTTCATCATCAAACATACTGTTAGCAATTCTCATCATAACTTCAATTCCTATCACCCCACTCGCTTTTATATGTTCCGCCGCCACTTCCGAAACCCCTATCGCCTTACCTAGTTTCATTTCTCTAACTGCTTTCTCTACTTCCTCCATCGTCACCTTCTCTATGGGTTCGTGTGTGACCGCGGATTCCACATCAACATCCCACTCATTCTCTTCATTCATCAACCTTTCGATATGAGCTTTCCACACCTGAGCTTTTTTCTCCCCATCTATGCACAATTTGCCAGATCCATCCCAAACATATTCATTCCCTATAACATTTTTCCTATCCCTCATTGACTGCATTGCTACTTTGAACATTTTCCCCGAACTCACGTCAAATTCCATTTCCCTCATTAACCTATCTGATGCTTTCGTCATTGCAGTTGCCACTGCCCGTTTTGCAGCCTTCTTAGCCTTCCTATACTCAGACTCCGCCTCCCTCGTCATGTCCATTCTCCACACCCTAAACCTCTCCTTCTTGACCTCAAAAACCTTTCTTATATCTTTATCTCACCACCACGTCTCACCATGCCTACACTTTCCTTTCGTCCATATACATACTTTATCTGCCGTAGCCAACAAACAGTCCCTATATCTTTCCCAAACATCTCTATCCTTACCACTCTCTCAACTTTCAAATGCCTTCCTCACCTCTGCATCCTGTAACTTCCATGTCTTTCTCTTTGACACAATCCTTTTTCCTCCTCCCCATTTCTTTTGATGCCACATCCATCACAACCATACTATGCTGCAACATACCAGGTTACGCCTTCACATTCCTTACATTATTTCTTTGCTTCGCCCTTACCAATATACATATAATCTATCATTGACCTATGCTTCCCTGACCTTTATGTAATTAATCGTGCTGGTTCCTTTGTAAACTAGGTATTCCCCACCACCATGCTATGTGCATCCGCCAACGCCAACATTCTACGCCCTTCCTCATTCCGTATACCATTTCCCCATCTCCCATGTACTCCTTCATATCCGTCTGCATCCGCCCCCACATGACCATTCAAATGACTTAACAACACCACAAACTCATCCAACCCCGCTTGCCCAATCTCGTCAGAAACATCATCATAAAACCTATCCTTCTCCTCTTCCTTCCTACTTTGTTGCGGAGCATATCCTGATATTATCCTCACTATTACTTTTCCAAACACCATACCACCATTGCTTTTCTGCCTCACTTCCAACACCTTCTCCACTAACTCTTCTTTTACCATCACACCAACTCCTCCTGTACCATCATCCCCCTTCCACCACAACTTATACCTTCCACCTTTAGCCCCCACCTTGTACCCTCTCCCATCCATCTGATCTCCTGTAATGCAGCCACGTCGAGACCATTCTCCTCTGCAACTCCTCCACCACTTTCAAACTCCTTACTGTCAGCGTGCCTACATTCCAGGTACCAAACCTCCAACCCCTTGGTCTACAAGTAATCCTTTCATCCATAGTGCCTTGCACCGCCACACTATAGAGTGGGGTGCCAGTAGCCAGACCATCCGCAGTGCCTTGCACCGCAACCCCATGGACTGGGTCTCCGGGGATTCTTCGCACCCTCTTCTGCCGGATACTGAGGGCCATTTTCACTTCTGTTATCATAAATATTTTTATTGGCTAATTTTTACGCAGGACGCCCTTCCTTACGCAACCACAGTTATAAGCGGTAGGCCTAGCCTTTGATGATCCAACATCATTTACAAGGCGGTGAGGGTAAGTTTAATGTCATAACCAGGACAGCATACTAGAAAGTAGTTTTGTAAAAAAGTTAAAAGTTACATTAAACAAACGTTGGACAAATTACAATGCAAAAATAAAAGAGAACAAACTGGAGACGTCCAACTTACACTGCAATAAGGCATTATTAGTAGCGTGTCCGGCGAAAGCCATTATAAACAAAGACGATGATTTTATAGGGTTCGAGTTCGATAAGTGACCGGGACACTAAACCATGTGTAACCGCTAACACAAATAGTCAAATAATTAAAATGTTCTTGAAAATGGCAACAGAAAAGAAGCAGCAGACGAAAAAATAAGATAGAGGGTTAAAAGGAAGAGATAATGTCAAAGAACAAGCAAAATTTCACTGAGTTTAATTGAGTAAACAAAAGATATAAAGATACTCCTAAGAGAACTCCCAGCGAAAGCAGAATCAACATCAAAAAACGGAAAAACATAATTTGTAATTGTTCAGCTTAGCGTTGAGACTCGGTGTTGGTATTTTCGAAATAGGAGTCGGAAAGTTTTGCTGGTATAATTATAACTCAGGTTAGGAAGCTCAGCGTGGACCTGGACAGACTTCATCGAAATTAACAAAACCACGTTCACGTCACCTTCTAATATTCTAAGAATAATGCGAAAAACTGAAAAACTGTTTTAAACATTCGACTAAGGTAGACAGAACACTTAAGCTACGGATGACATTAAGGCAGGATCTCAAAAACTTTTGTCACCTTGCATGATCTGTAAACTATTTTCAAAAAGAACAAATCTCATTGAGATCAGTCAACATCTGACAAGATAGCGCTCCGCGTTGTTTCACCACATTTGAAATGACAAGTTGGCTATTAGTGAGCAATTTTCAACAATAAGCAACCAAAATGTTAATGTAGTAAGATAATGGAAGAAACAAACAAAGATAGAATTGATGTGAGTTTTATAGCCTCAGAGCATTACTGACAGCAGCGTGGAACGTAAAAAGCTTGAGATTAGCAGAAAATATATAACTGTTAATAGAAAAAGCAAAAAAACATAAATGTAAATTCTAGAGGTGAGTGAAACATGATAGAATGAACACAGAAAATACAGAAATGACTATATAATGTACTACTTTTGGAAAGAAAGTGCAAGGAAACGTGTGGGGATGCTGACTGCTTAAGACAAGTGTGCCTGCTGACTTCATATTTCTTCATTAGTTTCCAGCTTACGATATAGATTTAGTGAAAAATTCTTGCGAAAGGTGATAAGATCAATGTGGCAGCTCGAGCAATATGGAGAAGACAAAAGTGGTGACAGTTGGAAAAAAATAAGAAGATTAAAATTAAATAGTCAGCTGGTATAGTACTTGGGAGATTTACCGAATGAAAAATGAAACTCTATTGAAATTGAAAATACGTACTGTCTAGGATAGAAAAAAATTAATAACCAGAATAAAATGAATTTAATGACTAAAGTGTATAAAACTATGGTAATCTCATTGACTGTATATTGATCTGAAACATGGACATCGGAAAAGAATATAAAAGTACTGCTTGTTACAGAAATGTTTTGCTTAAGACTTATGGTTAGAAATAAAAGCATAAATACAATCCAAAATAAAAGCATTAAAGTATTCCAGAAAAAAAGTTGCAGAAATAGAGAATCTCTTAAAAGAAATAGTTCATAAAGATTATTGGTGCAAGAGGGTTTGCCACTGAAAGCTTTCAAAAGAATATTGGAAAAACAAAAAAACAGAACGACCAAAGAAACGTTGGACAAATGAAGTTGAAGAGCGATAAAGTAAAAAAAAAGTATCTCTGTAGCGCTAAAGTTATAACAAGGCAAAAAAGCAGAATCAATTTACTAAAAGAAACAAGTGGCAAAATGTTACTATACAACCATAGACCCAGCGACTGGATAAGGACGAAAATATAAAAGTTGACCCAACCAGCAAAACTTCGAGTTTCCTAGTAAAGTGAACAAATCTTTAAGTTAAAGTCATGAAATAATAACTAATCCATGCGTTCAATGTAGGATGGTGCCTGGTGCCGCAACCATTTGGCGTCCAATGGATGTCAGTATCACAAAAAGGTTTTTCTTGGAATTTTACCAAATGTAACAACGGTTTCGTTTGTTAAACTTTAATCTGAAACTATGTAGAACAGGAGCGAAATATAAATAAATCATAGAAATGATTGAAGCACAATTTTGGTTGAAAAGGCTGAAATGAAAAAACGACGATTTACAAAAAACAAAAACAAACAAGTTGTAGTATAGAGATAAAAAATAACTGGAAAATGCAACAGAAAACAAAAATCCACAACTGCTAAACATTTTTTTATAAATTTTTCAACTATTTTATTATTAACTTTTAAGAATGAACAAGAAATAAAAGACAACAAAAAATTTAAAATTAGATAATCAAATTACTTACTGACTGCTCTTCCTAAAGATCGAATGCTATTCAAATTTTTTATTTCAGTTCTAGTGCCTAAACAAAAACTACCAAATCTTCTAATTGAAACACTGACATCAACGCGAAGTGACCCTTCTGTTAAAAAAGGGTGAAAAACGAAAATTTCATCGTTATTGCTTTGATGTCTAATAGGCAAAGAAATGTAAAATAAGTAAAAAACTCATTTTACTTATACATATATATATATATATACATACATATATATATATATAAACTATATATATATAGTTTATATAATATATTAATATTGGATTAAGACTGTCAAAAATGCAATCTTTGATGAAAATAACTGCACGTTCGGCTGTAGTTAACTTCCAATAAAACTTTTTGATTTTTATAACGGTAGATCGTAAATCATTTTCACGTTTCTTTAGTTCAAAACAAAAATTTTTAATTTTTGTTTATTTTATGCATGATAGAAGAGAAAAGCTTTTTCGGTATTCCTATACCACCCTCGGTGTTCAAATTGATATGTTGTGGTTGTGTCCAAATGCTCAAATATATATATATATATATTTATATATATACTGATATATATATTTACAATATTCTATAAATTCTATCGAATGTTTGGCGTTAATATGTTTGTAGTTCGTCACGCCGCATCAATATAGAGGCAAGGAAATGCCATTTATTCCAGGCTGCACGTATGCGTGCTCGAATGGCAGCTTCAGCTATTCCAGTACAATCCAGAACATCCCCTAGATATTGAAACGATGTGACTTTCTCTATTTTAATGGCTTCAAAAACAGTGTTATTTCGAATTTGTTGTTGTGGATTGATGCAAACAAAATTGGACACTTTAGATAAAGTACAAATTATTTTTGAATTCAAAATAAACTTATTTTCCAAATTCATGCTGCAAATAAGGCCATATTTCGATTCCGAATGAATCATCATCAGTGCTTACTTTGTCAAAATGAACTTAGATGGAGATTGACTTTGTCAAAATGAACTTAGATGGAAATTAAGTTTCTTTATTGGCTGGTCATCTTCTTTGGTCTCCTTTTATTCATCATTCACCTAATTTGGAAATCGCAAAAATGCTCGAGCGTAGAAGGATTGACATCTGCTGCCTTCAGGAAACCCGATGGAAATCGAATGGTGTCTGTCATGTCAATTCAGACAAAGAAAAATATAAACTATTCTGGAATGGTCAAAAGACGGCCAAAAATGGTGTTGGAATTTTTGTCAGAGAACCGCTAGCCCAAGAAGTACTGGATATTAAAAGGTTTAATTCACGTCTCATGTGGATCAAGCTTCGCATAGAAAAGTAAACAATGATTATTTTTTCTGCATACGCACCACAGACAAGCGAATCAGAAGAGATAAAAAATGACTTCTGGGCTGCTTTCTCTGACACAATCTCAACAATACCAAAATCTGAAATAATCCTGATTGGAGGCGATCTCAATGGCCACGTAGGAAAAAAACAGGTGGTTTTGACAACGTACATGGCGGTTTCGGCTATGGAGAACGGAATGAAGATGGCAACCGCATTTTTGAGTTTGCTGAAAGTCACGGGTTTTCTTTACTGAACACATACTTTAGTAAGAGGTTGGAACATCTCATAACATACAAAAGTGGACCATCAGCCACGCAAATTGATTTCTTCGCTGTTAAGCAACAACACTGAAGGCTATGCAAAAACGTCAAAGTTATACCTGGCGAATCATGTGTCACCCAACATAGACTCCTTGTGGCAGACCTGGTTGTCGAACTGCCAAAACAAAAGTCTAAACAAATGCCTTGGAGAATCAAAACGTGGAAGCTGAAAAGCAATATTCATCGAGAAAAATGTCAAAAGATTGTCGCCACACAGTTAGACAACCAATCGCAAGCCGGTACAGATTGGAGTACATACAAAACCGTTTTGATAAATGCTGCAACTACAGTTTGTGGGAAAACTGGTACAAAACGTCAGCATGAACGGGACACATGGTGGTGGAATGACAGTGTACAAAATGCAATAGCTGAAAAGAAAGTTGCATACAAGCAATGGAAAAAATCAAAGTCTCTTGATGACCATAAAATTTTCCGTGAGATGAACAACTGAACAACTATGCAAGACGTCAAGTTGCACTGGCTCGGACAGATCAGTGCAAAGAGTGGCTCACTAAAAGCAAAGGTGAACAAATGAAATCTCTGTATCGTATAGCAAAACAAGCAAAGCGTACGAAACAAAACATAGTTGGTGCCTCATGTAATATAAATGACAAAAATGAGATGGTTTTTGAACAAGATGAAATCAAGCTACAGTGGAAAGAATACTTCAACCGTCTGTTAAACGAAACAAATCCCATCAATGTTAACTTTGACGCTCCACCCATCGAAGGTCAGATTCCAGACATCACTGTAGAGGAGCTTACAGAAGCTCTGAAAGCTATGAAGGATGGAAAGGCAGCAGGGCCCTCTAGACTCACAAATGACATTATCAAAGCATCTGGTACTGCAGGTATCCAAACGATACTACAACTTTGCCGTGAAATTTGGAGAAATTGCTCAATGCAACTTCAACGAACCAACATGAAAATGCTTCGATGGATGCAACGAATTAGTCTGAAGGACCACATCAAATCTACCGAAATTCTTCGTCGTGGTGGTTTAGATAATATAAAGAACGAATGCCGGCAACACAGTCTGCGGTGGTTTGGTCATGTCAAACGAAGTGGAAACAGTGCCATAACTTCTCTAGCAGATGTTGAAGTACCTGGCACACGTCCCAAAGGCCGTCCAAATAAGTCCTGGTCGCAAACAATCGAGCAAGACATGAAAGCTCTAAATTTAAATGAAATGGATACAACTGATCGTCTAATTTGGCACAAAAAGTTGATGGCATAGAAAACAACGTCCTACCTCGGGAAACCGGGTCTCTGGACGCAAAACGAAGATTGATTGATTGATACTGCGCCTCTTTATTGATTCACACACACACACACTATATCAGCAAATAGACGGTGTAGCAATTGGCTCTCCATTGGTAGTACTCTTCGCAAACTTCTATGTTGGACACATCGAAGGAATGTTATTTAAAGAAGAACCGGAGCGAAAACCTAATACATACTGCCGACATGTTGACGATACATTTGTGACATATGAAAACGATGATTGAAGATCTATTCAAGTCATTATTTATTGCATTGCCAAAAAATCAAATGAAACGGAATGTGAACTACATCAAATAATCAGCTTCATGATTCGTCTTAACAAAACTTTTCATTACATTAATTAATTTTAATGAACAAAATTTTTCATTAACAAAACATTATTTATTGCATTGCCAAAAAATCAAATGAAACGGAATGTGAACTACATCAAATAATCAGCTTCATGATTCGTCTTAACAAAACTTTTCTTGAGAATAATGATGAGAGTACGAAGCAAAATCAGATCTGAAATTTCAATGTCCAATGTAGTATTGTCGAGGATTGTGGAACAAGAAACGCTATCTTCATGCTACGAACGAGCGATTGAAATGAAGAATGACTTTTTTATATGTTTTGTCGATTACTCCAAAGCTTTTGATAGCGTAAAACACGTGGAGCTTATGGATATTGGAAAATTTAGACAATGATGGAAAAGACACGAGAGTTACCAAAAACAGCGATGAAAGTTGGTAACAAGAAGACTAGTTTTTTCGAAATAAAAAAAGGTGTTAGGCAAGGCTGTGTAAACCTGTACAATCTCTATAGTGAGATCATCATGGAAAAGATAGAAGAGCTACCTGGAATATCGGAATATCCATTGGAGGCGTGAATATTAGAAATGTATGATATGCTGATGATACAGCTCTTATAGAAAATTCAGTGAAAAAACTGCAAACAATTGTTTCCAAACTGGTTTTTGAAAGGGAAAGGAAAGATCATCATGTTGTTATCATGTTATCAGTAAAAGAAAAACCACCCCGATCTGCTCCATTATCATTTATGGTAAACAGGTGAAAAAAGTCAACAGCTTTTATTATCTCAGAAGTGTGATTACCTCAGGTTGTAAATGTGATATAAATATCAAGAAAGGATAGCTGTGGCAAAAGATGCATATTCTAAAATGAAACACATCCTCGCCAACAGTAAAATCATATCAACAAAATCAAAACTCATTTGGACTCAACATACTCAATCACTATAAGCCGTGAAATCCTCGACAGCAACATCAAAGTAATATACCAGAACACCAACTAAACGCATCTTAAAATTGCAGAAGCAGTCCTAATTGAAATCAATAAACCAAAAATAAATATACAACAAGAAATGACAACCTCACTCCCAACTTGGCGCTTAATCAACAATGAAAACAAAGTAGTAATAAAAACTAGCTTCGTAAATAATGACGAAGAAGAATATGATGCTATCGATGAAGAAAAGGAAACCAACGAAGATGGACCAGCGAATAAAGAAATCTGACGCCTAATTTCCATCTAAGTTCATTTTCACAAAGTAAATATTTCCTTATATAGATCAACTTGCCCTGATGATGATTCATTCAGAATCGAAATATGGCCTTATTACGCTAAACATTCGGTAGAATTCTAGAACATCGTATATATATATATATATATATATATATATATATATATTTTACAATATTCTATAAATTCTACCGAATGTTTTGCGTTAATATGTTTGTAGTTCGTTTTTTCGATTTTTCTCACTAAAGTTTTTTGGTGAACGTTTAGTTTATTAAAATTCAAAATAAACTTATTTTTCGAATTCATGCTGCAAATAAGGCCATATTTCGATTCCGAATGAATCATCGTCAGTGTTCCTTGTTGTATATATAGGGAAATATTGACTTTGTCAAGATTAACTTTGACGTTGTAAAAATTAACTTTGGTGTTGTAAAATTGAACTTTGATGCGAATTAGGTGTCAGGTTTCTTAATTCAGGCTGGTCATCTTCTTTGGTCTCCTTTTCTTCATCGATAGCATCATATTCTTCTTTGTCACTATTTACGATGCTAGTTTTTATTACTTCTTTGTTTTCGTTGTTGGTTAAGCGCCGGGTTGGAAGTGAGGTTGTCATTTTTTGTTGTATATTTATTTTTGGTCTATTGATGTCGATTAGGACTGCTTATGC